AACTCCATTATGTTTCTGTAAGGCCTATAGGTACCCGGTACGGTGAATTTGAATACCTTACTTGATTAACGTTATCATTTTGATTTTGTCACTATGATTTTATTGCCATTCAGTTGGACAAGGCTGCGGTTTCTAAGCAGGCTACACCACGGACCGTAAATCAATACCCTCGAAATGAACAGAAATACAACAGCAGCAACTAAATATAAAGGAAATAGCAACACGCATTTCTTACTGAGCTTTATTATTAGGTCTGACACTTTGCGGAGACCCATAAGCTACTTTACAGTAACCCAAAACATACACTTCACTTGTTTACTGAGTTTATTGTAATTAGTCAAAAGTCAAATGGAAAAATGAAAGCACTTGCTCTGGAGACAGCACGAACTGTAATGTTCGGGCAAAAAAGTCTTCAGCATCATAAATTTTCTGTCAAATGCACCCTTTTAGTTTTTAAAATCCTGTTCAGAGCGATCCCCAATCTAGAGAAAAAGATGCTGGGGCGAGTGTTTAAGAACATAGTATTTCTTGTAAACTTTGAATGATATTTATTTGCTTGTTGCATGTGTTTCTGATTTGATTTTGCTAAAAGGAAATAAAAATAATAATCTTTAACATCCTTTTCGTTCCTTCTTGGTTGTTATGGTGCTGGTGATTTTAGGGGTTGCGGGGTTTTGGGTGGGGTAATGAATAATGGGGGATGGGGGAGGTCAGTAAACCGTGCAATATGTAATAAATGTAACTATATATAATGCAGTCTTGCACTCACAAAGCTTGAAATCACGAACTTGGATAATCAACAAAGATAACAATATAAAAAAGAATGTGGTTCCGTCTTCAATGGAGGGTACGCTTGTGACGGTTTAAGTCCAGACCTATGCATGAACGGAACAGATTAAAGTGGAGGTGCGAAGGCAATAAGATTTAAAAAAAAATAAATATTTCTTTCATTTGTACTGATCTAGGGCCCTCTTTGCCTTCCTTTTCTTTTTCAAGTTCACAATTTATTCTATCTATAGCACATAGTGAGGCATGGGTTGCTAAGGGAAACAACAATTTAATTTATATAGTATTGTGGAAAATGTTACAGTATTCTCCCATGATTATGGAGCTTAGCAAAGGAAAACAACAATTAATTTTGTAACCTCTTTGAGTTTTGTGAATGCGTTAGAGTATTTTCCCTTGGTTATTAAACTTACCATTGGTGAAAACAGTTTTACAATACCCGGTGTTACTCAACTGTAAATTGTAAACTCCCCTGGTGAAAGGCAGTACTGTAAAAAACAACAACTACCAACAACAAACATTTACATGTCAGTTACACATGTACTTTAAGTTTATTGATAGAATGAAACAAACGAATGAATAAATACATTACTACATGTTCAGGCTCTATTTTTGAAATGGTTTTCTGTTCAGATACATTGGTAGTAAAATTATGAATGGTGTTCCATCGAGTTTGTGGTTTATTCATGGTTATAAAAGTAGGCCTAAATGTGTGATTTCATCTTGTCTTATGTTGTAATAAGAACAATAATCAGTATGGAGTCGATTCTGGTTCTGACATCGAAAGTTAGAACTTAATCTACGTCCAGCCGAAAACGGGACTACTTGGACATTCGAATGTTTTAGATTCAGATTCAGAAGTGGACTATTCAGAATCTTTAGAAAATTCATGAGATAGAGCACCTAAATATCCTT